GGGGGGGGGGGGGGGGGGTGTACTCATAGTCGTGCATGCCGTAGTCGTTTGACCATGGACCTCGCATCCCTACAAAGCCGGGACGGAGCACGCCGGGTTCTCACCGGACCAGGCTCTCACATCACCAAGCGCGAAGGGCCGTGAGGTATTTGGCGAGTCGCATAAAGGGTGAGCTGCATCCTGCTAAGGGTGTTCGGCATCTTGTGCTTACTTCCTTGCGTACGGATGACAGCTACATATGACTTAATTTATTTTCTGGTGCTATCACTTCCAGTTGTAAGCACTGTGTAACTGCCTCGAGGAAGCTTGACCATTTTAACACAACGTGGTGCGATCATCCCCCGTTGCGCGGAGAGAGGTTTCTCGACCCCGCACAACATGATCTACTCGACCACCATTACGGTTACCGCCAAAAAAAAAACCGAGGTAATAAAAAAAAACGGTAACCTGGTTGCCGAGTTCACGAAGTGAATTGGCTTGTTTTACAACGTCGTTGCCAAGCGACGAAAACCCAATCCCGATGGCAAACACCGAGTGGGGGGGGGGGGGTTGGACAGCTGTGACGGGTAGATAGACCATACCCACCGGTGCCTTGTCTACATGGGTATCCACGTTTTTCCATGTACTTGTAGTTGCTCAAATGGGGTATGACTCGGGGCGAACAAACTCTCCTGCTGCCGGGACATAGGAAACAGAGGTCATGTAGTCGGCCCTGACCTTTCGCAATGTGCACTCTCTCTATTTAGAGTTTAGCGACTAGGATACACGCTTGCTCCCAAAAACGAGAGCAAAATCCAAGACACGGCCTCTCCGTGGGGCCTTGTTATTTCGTTTTTGTGTGCACAGCCACACCACCGCTCTCGCAATTGTAGAGCACCACAAACCTCAATGCGTCCTTCCTACGGCATGTGTTTAGATGAGTGCGAGTACATCCCCCCTGCTTTCCCCCGCTGAAAACCAAAATCAGGTACTACTCGTACAAGTACGCGGAGGTGATGTCGGCCGACGCGTTCGCCGCGTTCGAGGAGGCGGGTCTCGACGACGAGGAGGCGGTGTCGAGGGTGGGGAAGCGCTTCAAGGACACCGTGCTGTCGCTGGGAGGCGGCCGGCACCCGTCCAAGGTGTTCCGCGACTTCAGGGGGAGGGATCCGACGCCGGAGGCGCTGCTGAAGCACTCGGGCCTCGCCACCGCAGCCGTGGCTTAGACTTGGCGCCGCCCCCTGGTCTAAACGACTACGGCATGCACGGCTTTTGAGTACAACCCATCTTAAAAGAGGGGACGGAAATATGTTTATTCTTTCCCCCCCCCCCCTTCGCTCCGGTTGCTACAGCTGGGGGGTGTGAGGAGGTGGGGGTCAATCGATGGCGTTTTTTTTCGTCCGTGAGAGAAACCCGAGGGGGGGGAGGTGTACTCATATTCGTGCATTTACGGAGGAACTTCATTTGGGGGGCATGCGGCGTCTTGTGTGCGTTGATCAGGGCAGGGCTGACGATCGCGCCTTTTGGTGCGTCGCTGCTATTCGTGCTGCTTCGTGAGGTCGGATTTCATCCAACGGACGGCGGCATGTCTACATTGATGTACGCGTACTTTCGCCTCGTCTGACAGCAAAATACGGTCGGTGCCGCCATGCGATGGCAGCCCAGAAGATATGCTTAACTCCCCTATACAAGCAGGACGGATTCAGCGTGTCGAGGGACAAGAAAGAAGAAAAACGCTGCTCTGCTGCTGTGAAGAGTTTGTGGAGACATTGTTTCCGTCGACATTTTTCTTTCGTGTTCGGCCTCGCGACACAGAACACGAGACTCGGTGTGTTTGATGACGGTGACACCATCACCAGTCGTTCAGCCGTATCTGACGCTTGCTTCATCGGGAGTTGCTGGCGTGTACCCAGCGAGAACTTAGGAGTCTTCGCAATGCAGAAAGAAATGTAGCCCGGCATTACCGGGTTGCACAGACGTGCGGTGTCGACGACCATTTATTTTTTCTTTTTGGTGGCCTTGCGCTCGTTTCGTTCGCTTCCGTTAAAGAAATATAGCCCAACGTAGCCGGGTTGCGAAGACGTGCGGGGTCGATATGGCCTGTTTCTTTTTTGTTCATTCCGTAGCCGTGCGCTCTTTTGCTTCACTTCCGTTGCAAAGGATGCCCCCGGCCACGAACGGGAGGGCTTCGGTTTTTTGGTTGTGTTACCTATCGAGGTCACGAGCTGCCACGCTACCGTTGAGATAAACTGTCGCTACGAAAGTTAGTGGCATGCGCTGCCTTTGTACAAGATACAACACACACATGTACAGGTAGGTGGGCAGCTTGTTTTTCGCCTGCGGCTGCGTCTCAGTCGGTGAACTTTCGCTCGTGGAAGAACAAACATACACAAACGAACACGCGTCTACCCGGCGCTGCGGGCACACGTCACTCCAGCGAGGAAGCGGTAATTCAACTCGTCAAGATCCACACACAAGCTCTTCGGCACGTACTTTTATTTTTATCTCGCCGTGGTTGTAGGCGAATCTCCTCCAAAAACCCCAAGCACTCCTACATGCACACTTGTAGCCCGGCCGTTCGGTCTCAACACACACATCACATCACCAGATCTTTACATATCAACGCCCACCGCCCCGTCTTCCTATAACCACCATGCAAGGCAACAACACAGCATACAAACACAGTAGGACGAGTATAGGAGCGAGAGCGAGCGCATCATGCGTGTGCTACAGAACATATCCGCGAAGTCGCTCTCTCTCTCACACACACGGGGGGGGGGGGGCGCACACCGCAGCGGGCACAACAAACACGACTGACTTTTATCCATCGAGGTGGTGCGAAGCGTACAAACCATCACCCGGCCGCCACCATCAAGCTTCATGCGCTCTTGGTTACCCCCGTCGCCTAGCGACGAAGCGGATACCTACTGGCTGGGAGAGGCGCAGCCAAGCAAGTTTAACCAGGCGCATGCATGCCCAGGGGTGGCAACGCTATCCGCTACCCAAGCAGCACTACTAAAAAAAGAAAAGCCGTAGTCTCTCCAGAAAACACACATCTACTCCCCCCTAGGCAACGCCGCTTACGGCGTCCAGAAGGCAAGGCAGAAAAAATTCGCGCACACAAAAAGGAGATCTACATCTTTTCACCGACGACACACTTCGTCGTGAGGGGGGGCGCCGCGGTAGGGACTACTCGGCAGTGGGGGTGGTGGGTGCGTCGGGAGACGCCTGCGCGGAGGACCATGACTTGCCGATCGCGCCGACAAAGTCAAGCGTCAGCTGCCCATCGCTGCAGCCATCGAGTCTCTCGAGGGCCTGACGATGGTCACGCAAACACGAAAAGGGTAGGGAGAGAAACAAACAGGTAGAGCGGGGTGTAAAGGGGGGGGGGGGTGTTGTCTGCCGTGCTTGGGGGCGATTTCGAAGACTTACAATCGAGCGACTGACGATTATCACACAGACCACAAAAGATGGGGAGACAAGCAGGTGAAGGAGATGTCTGCCGCACTTGGGGGCGATTTCGAAGACGTAAAATCGAGCGCCCGACGAGGTCATGCAAACACAAAGCTAGGGAGAACCAAACAGGGTTTCTGTCCTTGTCGTGCTCAGGGGCGATTCCGTGCACAAAAGACTGAGCGCCTGACGATGGTCACACAAACACCGAAGGTAAAGGTAGGGAGAAACAAGCACGGTGTCCATCGTTATCGTGTACTTGGAGGGCGAGATCGAAAGACATGAAAGTAAAAGACAATGGAGCGGACAGATTTCCAAAAACTCAACCATGGCGAGCTGTACACGACTTCTACATATTGACTCATATGAGACGTAGCCAGCAAACACGCACTCCGGTCACGTTGCCGGGAGCACCATCCGGTAGACATGCGTTGCGCCGCAACCCCCCTTCCAGGTGTAACAATCTCTTCTCTCTCTCTCTCTCTCTCTCTCTCTCTCTCTCTGTCTCTCTCCCTCCCCCTCTGTCTCTCTTTTCTCTGTCTCTTATCTCTGTCTCTCTGTCTCTCTGTCCCTCTCTTGTCTCTGTCTCTCTCACCAAGCATACTTCTTGAACCGCTTGACGTCGCGCAGAGCCATCCTCGGTGGATTCCCAAAGCTTCGCAAACACAACCAACCAGGAAACGACCAAGGGAAGCCCAGTACACGACACCGGCGTAGACGTAGGCGCAACCCCAGCAGCATCGCCGACCAAAACAGCAGATACACCCCATGACGTAATCAAACAGTACCGTGGCCGGTACGACGGTCAGGGCGGTTTGGCAGGGTAAAAGGTAGAAGCACAGCCGGGGGCACGAGGAACGGATAGGGGGGAGGGGGGGGGGGGGGGGGGGGGGGGCCATTTTAGGATCTCTGCTTATACTTGTCCCACGAATAATCGACCCTATATCCCAAAAATTTTAAAGGGGGCCCACATGGCGAGCACCCCCCAAAAAAGGCTTCCAAAAAATTTTCACGGCCAAAATTTGGGGACGACCCCAAACTGCAAGGACCCTGTGGATTTCCCGAGACCTGATGGCCCCCACCCCCCCCCCCCCCAAAACGCCCATGGTAAGTTGGACATGAAAAAG